AAAACTATTTTGTATACGTAGTGAGTTGAAATAAACGTTCGTGTCGGCCATTATAATAATATGCTACGTATTAAACTAATGATAAAAATATAATAATGTTCTATTATTAAGTACATACAACACATTTTTTTTATTAATTATTTGAAAAATAACACGAAACATACTTGAACATATAAATTGAAATCACAACAAAAAAACATGACACTGTATGCATAGTCCGAATTCTGAGCAGCTGGCGGTCGCCAGATGGCGCGTAGCCGTTACGAGTAAAAGTAGTGGGAATCGACGAGTTTTCGTCCACCACGCAGTCCTGGTCTCTCGGCGAACAGAGTATAGTAAATAATAATTTATGTTATAACGAAAAGTTTAAATACTTTAATAATATTTTTCAAATTCCAACAAAATGACTACAATTTTAGTTGAATAAATATTTTTTGTTCGAGTAGATACCCGATTTTGTATAAATTTGAACTTGAAATGTTTATAAAAAATAGAGCATTGTATTATGTATTTTGGAAATTTTTAGGTTGTTGTATACAACATTTTTAAAACGTAGTTTCATAAGAGGAAAATGTGTTGTGCGAATGCCTGATTATTTTGATGATATTTAAAACTGTAATATACAAAAAGGAAAATTCATTGTAAGAAAATATACTATAGGTATTAAAAGGTACCTCAAAGGTTACCTCAATAGGTAGCTAAAGAAATATTCATAACAATATTTTTTAATTTAACTAGAGTCAAGACCAAAATCGAAATTAGGTTTATCATTAGTCATTACAATGTTACAAAATTTGGTACTTCGAACTATATATGCAATTAAGTAGCTGGAATACAGATTAACACAAAAAGGGAGAATTGATTCTATAATTAAAAGCTAATACTATAAAAAATTTTGTAAGAACTTGGGACATATTGATGGCCCAGAAATTAACTTGTAAATAAAAGCTACATCATTATATAACGTCGAATATAAGTTTATGCAGTCCCTCTTTAGCAATCCCTCTTTCTTTAAGCCCTCATCATTCTTACCTAGTTTGAAAGTTAAAAGCCATTCAAAAAGCCATTCTCAAAAAAACCGCTATATATCATCGAGTTTATCAAATTAATTATTTTATTTAGGATTCCGGACAACTGATGAGAACTCTAAGATCGACTTAACTAGGGAGCATAATAAAAACTTAAAGGTTTATAACAAATTATATTTTTAAGATCGTATTAATTAAGTTTATAGTAAACCCTATAACATGTTATGAATAACAATACAAATTATAATTTTGACTTCCTATTTCTTAAATTTTTTATTAATCTTAATGACAGTATATATTTTTATTTTTATATTCTTAAGCAAAATATTATTTGGATTTGAAATATGTCGATGGTTTATTAGTTATTACTTATTAGTTATGTATTTATACCTAAGTGTTTTGATTTTGAATTTTAAAGAGTAGGTACACATGTACCACTCAACTCCGCTCATCAAAACTATTTAAATACATGTAGGTAACTCATAAACTAAAAGTCCACAATTCAATTTATATACATCAAAGAAACTTGAAAGTAGTCTAAAAAATATTATGCTTTGGAATTAAATATTAAAAGTGCATGTTACTATAAAATATTCAAAAATAAGAACGAACATTTTATCTAGTAATATTTAAGTAAAATATGTAAGTACCTACTAAATAAATATGTATTTATATTTTAAAAATCTAAAAATATTCATTTTTTATCTCAAACAAGAAAATATGTGCAATAATGTGCTAAATAAAAATGATATGATTTGACTCTATAGAACATGCATCAAATATGTATTTATAATATAGCATTGAATTGGATCAATAGAAAAAAATACGAGACTTCAAAAACATCAGCTGAGCACTATAATAAGTAATAATATGTAATAACGTATATACACTTCATTATATACCCATACCATATTAATTACTATTTACTATTATAAATTATAGTTAAAATATATTCATATATTATAGTATTGTATAATATACATACAGTATACTGTAAAGTGTATATAATGTATGTCTATTTTGTCTGTGTGCAAACAATTAAGTATTTGTACAATATTGTACGATAACTAGGCACACGATAATATATTTGCAGTATTATATCGAATTACCTGCACGTGCATGCATATTAATATGTACAAGGAAGTAGGCGTAGTTTGTGCAATATTTTTCGATAGGGCACAAACAATAAGAAATAAGAATTTGAATTTAATGTCTGTACATGTATATTGTATATACAGAGTGACTCACTAAGCATGCTCACTCGCTATTTTCCTTTATTAATGAATTTATTCAAATTCTCATCATTAGAATTTTTAAATATATATAAAGACCATATTTTCAAATTATTGAGATTATTTTATACTACTTAAGGATTATCCTGTGACGGTACAAACTTTTATTTTTTCAAAAATCCCCTTTTTTGCTTTTAGTCGATAATTATATTGATGTATCTAATTCAAATTTTCGCATGTTTTTATCAGTTATTAAAATGTTTAAACTAAGGTTATAACAATCATTAAAAATGGTTTTACAAAAATATAAAATTTAACTATAGAAGTAATGTTAGATGTAGTATTGATTAAACATCTTTTATACTATATGACCATTTTTACAAATTATAAATGTTAATCTAACATTAGAAATTACTAACATTTATTTCAAATCACCCGTATCTTCCAAACCCAATACTATGGGCCTATTATCCTACACGAAGTACCTACACAAATTTAAATAACTCAATAATTAGGTACTCATCTACATTTTCAGTAAAATAGTTCACAGTAAAAAAGAGGGGGGGGGAGGAGCTTTAATTTGAAAAATAGAAGTGTTTATTGTACCTGGTATCTCCACAGGTCACTCCGTAATTAGTAAAAAAATTTCAAGAGTTAGAAAACATAGTCTTTAATTAAGTATTTTAAATAATTTGTAGAGTTAGAATTTAAATAACTGCATTATTGAAGAAATAAGAGGGTGAGCCTAGCTCACGAATCACCCTGTATAAATACTTGTCGTATAAACATGAAAAGAAAACAATAGGTACATTACTCAACCCGTGTTCAACTCGCGAGTCGAGGACCGTGTGACTGCATGTGGGTATATTATATTATGCATTTATGCACTAGGGTGACCCAACAAAATATATATTTTATTTTTTAATTCCCCAATTCTAAAATGCAGAATTGTTTGGTATAGACATATAGTATGGAGTAGCTAGAATAAATTTGACCAACTTGGAAAACCAAAAAATAAAAAATATTTTACCGCCCAAGGTCTATAGACATTGTATACACAACATTACTGTTATCCCATTGGTTCTTAAAATATGCGTTCACCGTAAACAATTTTAACTAGATAGTAGAAATTCTAAAAACGCTATTGGACTGTTACTATATCGTATCGGACGTGTTCACGTACAACGTTTTTCGTGGTTCTATAGTAAATAACCTGTCCAATCTGGGTTTGGTATATTATAAATTATAATGTTGGATATTGGTCACGGTTGTTTTACATTGGGCATTGGTAAACACCGTAATCACTAGAGCTCTGCAAGGGTTATTTTTTTTCGGCCCGAAACAGCCTGAAACTTAAATTGAAAATTTGTACCCTCCCAGGCCCGTGACTTATAAAGTAAGATTGGGGACAACATGAGACTATCAGAAAAATATTGCATATTACTACTCAGTCCACCTACATCCATTAAAAGCAAGAGAGAGAAGTTTAACCATAAAGATATAACACATTTTTTAGAAAGAATGGTTATACACCTTGGTGCTATTTTATATACAGGCATAGAATATAGGTGTTGGCTATCTGTTTCTAACAATGCAGACACTAAGGCAGAGTATGTGGGATGCGCTGTCCATGTAATATATAAATATGTGGATAGGTATGTCAATGGTTGAAATATTTTTCAACTTTACGTAACCTGTAGTGCATAAATTGGTCGATAACAAGAAGTTACGAATCAAGGAGTATCGTCGTACAACGTTAAGCTAACACGGCAGAAGTTGAATATAGGTAATTCTTTACAAAATACTTATAAAAAAAAAAATAGGTATTCTCTTCAATAATAATCTTATAATATTGCTTATCGATTTCTTGGGTGGCTATAGAATACTTTTACAACCCCGATATTTGTTGTGGGTTGTAAGTGCGACATCCAGACCCCTGCAGTTTACGCCACTGACTCGGACCGTAAGGTCGAAATGCCACAATGCCGCATACTATAATAAGCGTAGTATAGTATACCTTATGTCGATCAACCTAAATCCTTGTCACTGTACATCGCACTACCATCGCAACTGATGATCCTATTTTCCTAACCAGTATAATAACATAGATCCAAGTATGGGTGCGCGTGCAATGTCGAGAAGTATAGACCATTCAGCCGTCTTATAATAATAATAATAATAGTAATAATAATAATAATAATAATAATAGTAATAATAATTAATAACTACAAAGTGTAATGCGTTAGACAAGCGTATTCATACACTCGGTTAAGGTTGTTCTTAATTTTTTTTTTTATTCACTTCCCACCGGTCTCTCTCTACGCGACAGACGACAGTTCCACCACCACCTCACGTCGTCGCCGAAACATGTGCGGTGAGCCCCGTCAACAGGTACAATAACAACTCGTATTGTACACTGCCATAAAATATTATAATATAACGCATGGAACGCAATAATAAATAATATTGTAGCGTCCGAGACGTCCCAAGAAACTAGACGACGACGCGCCGTAGCGTCGCAAACGGAGCAGCGTGGCCACTGGCGTCTGGTAGCAGTCCGTATTCCGTACGCGTCAACGGCCGCAGGCCGACCCTCCCCCACCGCCACAAACATCAACATAGCGTAGCCCGGGCAACGCGTGGCCACGTCAGCCGCTGCCGTCGCCGCCGCCGCCGCCGCCGGATCAGCTCGTGCAACTCCGCCGTCACCGACTCTCGGTGCTACGCCGCAACGACCGTGTCGCCACCGCCGCCGTCGAGCGTACCACTGTGTGCGTGTCCGTCGATCCGTTCGCGTTACCGTGTCCGGCCGTGAGTGTTCGTTGGTGTGTGTGCGCGCGCGCGCCGTAGATCGATAAAACGCACCGTCTGCCCTGCTGCGCTTCTGTTGCTACACGCCGACCGCTTATCACCGTCAGTGAGCGACGTTATCACGCTGCCGGTCCAACACGCCAAGTTCTGATACCACCCACGTCCACGGTAATAATTTGCCCGAGTATTATAATATTACATTTACGCGCGTGTGCTGTCTGATATCGTTTCACGTTAATACCGACCTGGGTGTGTGGACGTCTTAACGATAAATATAATATTGTGTATAATAAATGTATAGTAAACTGGACGTGTCCTTGCGTTCGTGTTCCCATAACGAGTTCCCGACGAGAGTCATCCTTTATGGGTGTATTTTCGGTTTTTTCGATTTCGTCCCGTTCGACGCAGTAGCTTATTGTTGGATATCGCCCATTATTATTTATTAGGCATACTATTGATTATGAACACAAGAACACTAGTAGAAGGTTCTAATTTTAGAAGTCAATTCGATGAATGTACGATGAACGTGGTAAATCATTAGGAAACGATGGTGTTCTTGCAGGATGAGTATTACCCAGTGCATTTTTTAAGGAATTTTCACTGGGCGATAAAACTATACTCTCAAAATAAATATTAAATTATATTACAAAAAAATTTTGCATGCTCGCCCCTCATAATTATTAAAAATATTATTAATATTAATATACATTTGTATTATTATAAATACTAATGCTATAAAGTAGAAGTAAATGATAAAACCTCATAAAAGCTAGTTATAAAATATTTAAAATAAAAGAAAATTTAAAGGAAGGTATATTACTTATTCGTGACTAAAATGTTTTTTTTACCCATGTGTACAGCCAACTAGGCGACAGAATATTTTTACTGGGTGACATTTGTGTCGCCTACTTTATTAGTTTAAAAAATGCACTGGTTTTATCTACCCGCTGCTGAGAATTGATGATCCGAGTACAAAATACCGTGTATTTTTAATTACATTTTTTAAGCCTTGGTGTCTGAGACCATCGGCTGCAATATAACGTATTATATCGCGTTGAGTGTCGACTCTCGGTAATCCTTTGAGTTAAAAACAAAAAGGTAAAATTACCAAGGTTCAGGACTCTAGGAGTAGTTTGTACGTGGCGTTTGCGGGCTTGGCCGCTGTAGTTATTGGCTCAGTTGTGTGGGTCGTGGACCACGTAATACTTTAATACAGAGGATCGAGTGTTGTCTAGGACTTAATAATTCGAGTGTGCCGCATGACGTGTAAAGCCACGTACTTAATAATAGGCATAAGGCACCGGTCTGTCACAAGTATAAGTACTTATACTAAATATCATGGAACTATTGACATAATATATTATTATTGTTAAATTGCACTTGTGTAACAACTAATAAGTGACATTATCGTTTCTCTGAGTGGTTGATTCAGTAGAAATAATTTATGATTTATGATATATTGATATTCGCATCTGTTCAAACTATTTATAGAGGTGTAATACAATGTGATGTATCACAATAAACAGTAGAGCTTAATACATTGAAATTTGAAATGTATTATGCATAATGTTTTGCGTCGATGCGTGGTAGTCGTACACGTGCGATTTTTGTTCCGTTCACGCGAGTTCATCTCGTCCAGTTAGCCCGCCCAACGGATCGTGTTTTTATCATTGCGACATAATATTATTCACGAAGACACGAACCGGTGTGCGAGTCTGATGACGACGACACAGCGGTTTTCTCGAAAATGCAATTGAGTTACAGTAATGACTAATAATATTGCATACATCGGGGAGGGTAAACTACTTTAGACTATATTGTCATTATAAATCAATATTGTTGTGCGAATGTTTTTGACGACGTTATAACTTATAATGGCTCATAACAAAAAGTCAAAAACTAATAAACTAATATTTAGTATATATTTAGCTTCACCGTTCATCCATATGGACTTTCTGATATCTAAATCTTATGCTCGGAATTCCTATATCATCAATAATTACAAATACACGTCATATGTACTTGTTGGGAAGTAGCTGCAGGTGGTGCCTACCATAGTACCATGTATTTATAATGTTATGTATTAGGTTATATGTATAGTATAATATATATATATATATGGATAATGTATATGGATATAATATAATATGCATTTATATACCTATTACATCAGGTATTGAGATTTGAGATGTATACCACACACGACGAGAGAAGACGTCTACCACATTTAGTAGTGTTTTTTCTGCTGCTTCAGACGTTTACCAAGAAAACAGGATGTGATTGAAGTGGGTACAGGATAATAATAATAATTGAACAACTACCTTCACGTCATAATGTTTGGTGCACGGTTATCTGCACAGTGTAGGTATAATATAGCCGTGGCTTAGTACTTAAGTGCTTTCTTATTATTAAGGATTTCTGGAATAGATATTATAAAATAGAAATATGCACAGGCGGACTTTCGGCTGAATTTGTAGGGGGCCTAGAATAATCCAATAAATATTAATGCAGTAATCCTTCGAATAGTTTTAATTTGGAGGGGGAGTTGAAATTTGTAGGCTCGTCTAAGGCCCTAGCCCCCCCTGAATGCCTGCCTCTGGAAATATGTAAGCCTTTAAATTATAATATTTATCTTTTACATTTTTAAGCATTTGTTCAACCGCTCTGAATTATCCAATTATTAACACTTCATTAAACATTAAAAGGTTCATTGTTAAAATCAAAATATTTTTTGAATAATAATTGTTATGATATAATCAAATAACTAATAAGAAGTAACTAAATACTAATAACAAATAATGGTATATTATTCTAAATTATTACTTCAATATTCTTTATGAGTTATGACCATACAAAATAGTATACGGTCCACATATGTTTGTATAAGGATCATGATAATATGTTATAACCATCATGTGCACAGTACCATTAACTATGGTCTTATTTATTATCATGATAATACTCATGTATTGTATGAAGACATACATTCTTGCATTACACTGAAATCATTATTTTTTGTTAAATGTGTAAAAAAATCATAAACACGTAGTATATCACTAAGTCATTTACAATTTAAACATTTTAAACTATAGATTTGTAGAATATGACTAGTATAAACATAAAGTTTAATTGTTATACTAAGAAACGGTATACAATTCATGTACCTATTACAAATATTTGAGTTTCAGTTAGTAGGTACAATATACTTTGCTGTATTTTGCATTTGAAGAATTAGAATCGTTCAATGTATAAACTAATGCAAAAGTTAATTTTTATTTTAAAACACGTAATAAATGCAATTAATAAGAGTAATAATTTATATGGTTGCATTAAAGTTGTAAACTTCTATTACTTTTTCCTTCTATTACCTTCATCCTTCACATACCTCTAAGACACTGATATAATACCTATCTATTATGTTACTCAGAATGCGCATAAGTTGGTACACCAACACTATATTAAATCGGCTGTAATCATCCATCGACCAACAGGAGATCAGACAAGTTCATTAATCATTCGGTCTGTATTTTCCTTTAAGGTTCATTAGCTAAGTTGTCTAGAAACGGTAGAATAACTAATTAATTCAATCCAGTTACGACTATTTAACAAGTACATTTTTACTATGTAACGAAATGAACTTTAGATTGTCAATAAATATTTATTTTAACTTTTTAATTTAATTAATTTAATTTCAAATTGGTAAACTGGTAAAGTCAACAACAGAAACACGTACAATAAACTAGAAGTATAACATTTTTACAATCGTGTACAGTGTACTTATCTCCAAAATGTAGTAAGTACCTAAAACCTAACTAGCAACTACATAATTCATGATAATTTATATTACATAATATATCATAAACAATAAACATTATTTCACTAAAACACTAATCTTCGTTGAATTTATATTTCTACATTCTACTCAATTTGTTCTATCATATTATATATACCTTGTTTTTATAAATAATTTTAGTTTCCACAAGTCGAATTGCTATATATTCATAAAATATTAATACTTATAGTGGAATATTTAGGGGGGGGGGAGTGCAAACCCGGATCAAGACATTTTGAGGCCCTGGGGCCAAAATTTTAAATGAGGCCCCTGTACGAAAAAAAAATGTATGTTTTATGTACTTACCTATTATAATAATAATAAATATATATAAGTACATAGTAATAAATAACTAATAACTTTATTTATAATTCATAATTTACAAGTTTTTTCCTTGCTTTTGTTTGACAAAATTCTTTAATAATTGCTTCATTATCAATTGTTTGAAAAATGTCGTTTTCTGATGACAATAATATCATAAGCGCCCTCAAATTTTCTTGTTTTAATGTTGACCTGTATTTGTTCTTTACTCTAGTTAGTTTTGAAAAAGCTCTTTCGGCCGAACAGCCTGAACTTGGCATAGTTAAATAAATTTTTAGTGCAATGTATAAATTGGGAAAGACATCAATTAATTCATTTTTATTAAACCATTTCCAAAGATCAATTATATTAAAAGGTTCTGTCTGTTCATAGTCTCCAATTGATGGTTTGCAAATGGAAAAATACTCTTTAAACTGTTTAATTTCAATTTTTATATAAATATCTACATCTTCCTTGTAGGACGTAGGTCAATATAAAGCTCTCAATACTTTGTTCAATGTCATTTTCTTCATTAATTGTGTCAGCAATTGGAACACACAACTTTGTAACAAATAAAAAATTATCTGATTTATGCAATGTACAGCCTCCTATAACGAAAAAAGTAATGGACAAATCTGAGGCCCCTAAATAAACTCCAATTATCAAGGCCCAGGGGCCATGCCCCCCCTGGCCTCCCCTTAATTCGGGCTTGGGGGAGTGCTTTGGAGCAGAAGCCCCACCGTAAATTACCTAGATATCAGGAATCACGTAGAACTAAACGTATTAATAGTAGACTACTACTAAAAATAGGTTAAATTTGTTTTTACTCCGAAGTTGTTCATGATGAGTACCTAAGAAGCTTTATTATCAACATTCCATAAAAAATCTTAGAACTTCCGCTGAACACTTGTAAATCTACAAGTGTAAGATTAAATTTGTAGTTGTGCTTATAGGTAATTAATCATCATACTCCATATACTCTGAAAGTTTCAAATCAAAATTAAATATTGTTATTTTAAATTAATAGGTTTTTTATTTTTCTTGTCTACCAATATTGCCTGTACATATTTTTTCAGTAATGTCGATACATTTAATAATTTATTTAAAATCATTTTAAATTGATTAAAATAGAAAAAGATTTTGTTTATGATGTTGTAATGAAATATTGTTTATGCATGACTTAATTATTTCATGTAAAAAAAAAAATACTTTTTCCTCTTGTACCATCAGTCCTCATATACATTCATACTATTCATATTGTTTGTAAACATGTATCAATTAATGTATGACATCAAGTATAACATAATAGTACAAGGTAATAGTGTAATACTATTAATGCTTCCTATTAATCATCAATGATGTAACTACCTCTACGATACATTAGTATGAGCTATACTAACTATACTAACTATACTTCTTAACTAGTTAAGAATATTTATTTAAAAGAAGCTTAAGGTCTTGAGGTAAATACGCCACACTACATTTATTACCATAGATATATAAAACTACGTAGTACTACTAGATAATGTTTATTACTTACAGGCAACATTTTTCAAAAAAGGCCAGCCATGGCCCGACTTTAACATGGATTTAGGCGCCCCTGAAAAACCCATATTTATACCCAGTATCTATGCTCAGTAAAAAAAATATAATATTATACAAACAATATATTTTACAGATGTAAACATTTTCAATTTAGTACGAACGTTAGTTGTACAATTAATTGATGGGTTGGTATAATGATTTTAAATTCATAAAGAAATGAAAAACCATTTAGAAGTATCTATATTATCCGGTAAGTATACAGTTTAAAAGTGCACTGTTGTGTTCCATCTGATATTTTGATTATTTAAATATAATTAGATGAAAATTAATTTTATCAAAAAAAAAAATATTCAATCGTTGTATGTCAGTGTTACATAGGGCTCAAAAGTTATTGGAGTTACATAGGTATTTTTCTAAATGTTTTCGATTTATAGCAGACCAAGCTAAAAATCTATTTCATACTTCAATACAAACAATGACGAGTTCAAAAACGAAAATGTATAATATATATTTTTGCTAATGTTGTAACATGTAGAAAAAAGTGCATATAATATATCTATTTCTCAATATTTTTTTATTAATCTTTATGCATATTTAATATATCCTTGTATTATCTATGTATTGTATACTCAATTATAAACAAAAATTGGTGTTTGTATTTTTTTTTTAATTTTTGCAAACAAGCAAAAAGCCGAATTTTTTCTGAGTAACCATATGTTTAATAATGCATTACGTTTTTGTTATGGTCTAGCCACGATGACGTAGTATTATGTTTTTTGTCTAACTAGTTTTTGCCCAAAATGTCATTAATATCTTACTTATATTTTATATTTTATATACTGATATGCTATTATGCAACTTTTTGATGTGTGTACCTAATACCTATATATCTTCCATATTAGTATGTATATTTTATCTGTTTAAAATTCTATAACTACCGATCATTCGTATTGTATAATATGTTTATGATTAATGTAAGATTTGCAAAAATATTGTAATTGAAAATATAATGTTAACGCCATTATACAGATAAGTAAATTCGTTTAGTTCATCTTTATTTTCATGAATAATAACTATTTAATTAATAAATGGCATAATCATTAATTTTCTGAAAATTTATCAACGTCAAACATATTTTGCCATGTTTAATCTCATTTAAAATTCATGTAACTGTATAAATAAATCTATTTTTTGAGGATATTTTTTATGAATGCAGGTACCTATATAGTATATACCTATATAAATGTATTAAAATATTTATTATTCTCTCCTGGACACTAGTGGACAGTTCTGGTAATTATTATAGTATATTAGTGATAATTTAAAATAATAGAAATAATAAGCAACATAATTGCCAAAATGATACTAATAACCAATAAGTTATAAATTAAAACATTCAATTATTTTATCTATTTTCATTTCCGTACACATGTATGTAATATATTATTATATACAATAAATATATATGTATATATACTATACATAAGTACGTTGTAGCTGAACGTCGGTTGGTATCTAACCACTACTGATATAGTGATGTATTGTATAAATAAAATGAAATCATGAATATAATGTAAAGCATACGGTACACATCAACACACGAGAATGTATGATTCATGAGTTATCAAATATCTTTAAAAAACGCTCTAAAACCATTAACTATCGACTCGGTTATTTGCGTCTTATAAAATAAATATAATGTACACAATAAGTGCCTCACAACCTCCGTAAAAATAGTAAAAACGCTATTACTGAAACAAGTTCCCACACTGTCTTAGACATTAGAGATGAGACAATACCTATTGCACACAATATTACACAAATTAAAATTATTTTATTATTTTAATATTTTAAAGTACTAACTGTTACTATTTTACGTTTGATCGTACATTTCAACATTTCTATCATGTCCTATTACCTATGTTAATTATTTATGAAGAATGGGTGTTCATGTTTTAATTGAATACATTTGTTTTAAGTCTAACAGGTTTTCATAAGCTGCCAGAGATTATACTATGGCGGTCACAAAAATATGCTGTATAGGTGCTGGATATGTTGGTGGGCCAACATGCAGTGTAATAGCAATGCAGTGTCCCCACATAAAAGTCACGGTGGTAGACATAAGTGCTCATCGTATTTCTCAGTGGAACTCAGAAAAATTGCCCATTTACGAAGTGATTAAAAATACTACGTCGTATTTTATATTTTTCATATTTATACTCAACATAATTTCATTTTTAGCCTGGACTCGATGACATTGTAAAAAAACGCAGAAATGTAAACTTGTTCTTTTCTACAAACATCGAAGAAGCTATTCAAGAAGCAGATTTAGTTTTTATTTCTGTAAACACCCCTACAAAGACTTTTGGAGTGGGCAAAGTAAGTAGAGTGTACATTTAACTACTACAAAATGTACGATTAGATGTATAGGACATAGGTAGGTACTCTTCTATAATAATATATCGTATAATAATTATACCGGTAATGTGCTTCGTCATTGGGTAGGTTACTGCAATGGGTGGCTATAAATTTGAATTCGATGATTTAAAAATGATTCTCAACGGGGACGATATAAGGATATTTTATAGTCTATGTTATTTATAAGTAATTGATTTTCTTTTAGTGATTTTAGAGATCAGCTATTTGTTGAGTTAATAAAAATATTAGATTATTTATTAATATATCTTCAACTTATAACTTTATAAGTCACTAAGTCAATACCTGTACTAGATATAAGTACAGATACCAGTAGAATGGTATGAATAAGTTCGTGGCAATATAGTTTGAAATTAATGTAAACATTTTGTAAATTTAATTGAATACAGAAAATAATAATATAGGTACGTAATTGTAAAACGTTTCAAGTTCTTAAGGTGATTGATTAATAATAATTTAAATAATAATTCAAATCGTTAGATAAAAAATAGCTATGTTTGTTGAAGTACCTATTAAATTTCATCAATATTTGGACTTCAAATGTTCTTAGAAAAAATTGTCTATGTATTTTCAATATGTTTAGAGTGTAGTGAGAACAATTCATAATGGACTTTGAATTAGATTTTCAATCTTTTTGACCGAAAAAGATATATCAGCATTCATCAAAAAAAAAAAAAAAAATTCTAAAATGACAAATGATTATAGGTAAATAGCTTAAAGTTAGTCTAAATATTTTTGTACAAAAGTGATAATTCAAGTTATAGTAGTTTAGAGTTACCACGTTTATTAAATTTGAATAAAATTATCAATAACTATTTGAAGAAAAATCGTTTTTTATATATATTTATAATATTGTGTCGTCATAAATTTGAACTTAAAAAGGTTATAAAAAATAATGTTAACTATGTTTTTTTGATAATTTTAATTACTATATGAACATATTATTAATATAAGTCATCTTATACTCAATTATCAAGCTTCTTGGCTTAGAAATAAATAATTTATCAATGTAAATCGTAAAAAAACTATACCTAAAGTATATACAATTTAAAATATCTGTAGTTCAACAAAGCCAAAAATCAATTTTTTAAAAATGATATCATGTCTACATTTTAAAAGATTGAATTAAATTGATATGTAAAAAATAATTATGTATGAATACATCTACGGTTATTCATATTTGAATGGTTACAATAAATTGAATAAAATAACAAAATTGTATTATGAATCAACTGATATTGCATAAGTATTCCAGTTTAATTTCCCCAGTTTTTTTTTCGAAAAGTAGGTAATAATTATCAAATTTTCTACCAGAAAAGCAGAAACCACCCTCTAAGCCTGAAGCATAATTAATGCACGTTCGAAAAAAAATAATCATAACATTAGGTTTTATATTAATTATCTATACATAGGTATTGTTCGCAATTTTTCGTGGAATATTACACATGATCAGAATTATTTGGAAAACTATTTGTTTCATTTTAGAAATTCGTTGGTCCAAACCGGTGTAAAATTATCCCCATACAATTCCCGGATAATGAACAATGTGCAAACATCCCGGTGCGTTTTTTCACACCGGTTCCAGCGAATAATGTTATTGTAATTATAATATAATATAATTTTATTGAAAACAATAAAAAACGAATACCTATATAACTGATAAGGAATTAAGGATGCACACTATGCGCAGCCAACAAGCATCCAATGAACCTTTCTTCTTTGTTGGATCGTTTATTTTGATGCAAAAAATGAGGCCATAAAATATAAAAGGCGTATCACATCTATTCACAAAATTTAAATTTATACATCTTAGGTAGACGCATTAAAATTACTATAGGCAGTTTCTTGACAATAGAATAAAGAATTGTAAATTTTGATGACACATTAAAATTTAGAATAGAGTGCTTTATACTTTATATAGACTTGTAGAGTAAAATCATCGTCAGCAAAATTAAAAAAAGAATGATTAATAATTCCAGCTCAAGTTTGACTTAAATTTTGAATATTATGCTAATAGTATCCGATTATAATAATGTAAATATTTGGTGGAACTAAATAGATTATATAGATATTAAATTGAATAAAAATATTCTGTTTTCAAATTGAAAATCTAGTTGAAACGTGTCTCGTACTTTTTTACATATTTATTAATTATTAAGCAAATGAGGGGGACACAAAGGAGATGACACAGCCATTTTAAATTCTTGTGAAATTACTTAAATTGTTCCTATATATGTTAAGTCAAGGCAACCTTTGATTTTGTCTAATTGTACAAGCGAAGATACCATTTTATTAAAAAAACGCCGAACATGGGTATAACTTGATATTAATTTTTTTCTGCCATTTATTATAGGGACGTGCTGCCGACTTAACATACGTTGAAAACTGTGCTAGGACTATTGCTCAAGTTTCAACTAGTGATAAAATTGTAGTGGAAAAAAGTACAGTACCAGTACGTGCAGCGGAGAGCATATTAAAAATTTTAAGTGCTAATCACAAGCCGAATGTTAAATTTCAAGTAAGTAAATATGCCTGCGTTACATACCTGCATATGTTTTTAGTAGTTAGTACTAAGATGATTCAATATATTGTATCATACCATTTTACTATCTGTAATTTACCTTGACGCGTACAAAGTAAATATATAATAAATAATACAATTTGTTTATCTTCTTTCGAAATGTTTTATCTCGTAAGAGTTAAAATTTGAATGTAACACATTTTAAGTTGTAACTGTGAATTAAAATATACGTTTGTTTATATAGGTATTATCTAATCCCGAGTTCTTGTCTGAAGGCGTGGCTGTTGAAAACTTATTAAATGCTGATCGAGTTCTTATAGGGCACGAAGAGACCGCCGATGGCTTATGGGCTTTTAAGGAACTCAGCAAAGTTTACTTGAATTGGATACCCGAGGCAAAAATCCTCAGGACAAACACTTGGTCTTCGGAACTTACCAAATTGGTAAATTCAAAGCGTGTTTTGTTGTGTTTTAGGTAATATGATAATATAGTAATATACTTATCGAAATGTATTATGTCCACAGGCGGCTAATGCATTTCTAGCTCAACGGATTTCTAGCATTAACTCAATGTCAGTGATATGTGAAGCGACTGGTGCAGATGTCAGTGAGGTGGCTAAGGGCATAGGTCTCGATTCCAGAATTGGGCCCAAATTTTTGCAAGCGTCAGTTGGTAAATATTATTCGTGTGAATCATTGTTTCCTGATTTTTGATTTGAGAACTTAAATTTGTTTTGAATTGCTGGTCACAGTTTGCCTAAAAACAAAATTATGTTTAAGGTTTTGGAGGCAGTTGTTTTCAAAAAGATCTACTAAATTTAGTTTACATATGTGAATGTTTAAATCTTCCACAAGTAGCTATTTATTGGCAACAAGTAATAATCGTTCTATTTATAATTTTATTACCTAGTCTTATAATACCTAACAAATACAATTATTGTGATTTATTTTCATCTACAGGTACTTGACATGAATGTTTATCAAAAATCTAGATTTTCAAACAAAGTTATCGAATCATTGTTTAATACGGTCACTGGTAAAAAAATAACAATATTTGGATTTGCGTTTAAAAAAGACACAGGTGACACTCGTGAGTCACCGGCGATACATGTTGCAAAGACGTTACTTGATGAAGGAGCAAAACTGAATATTTATGACCCGAAGGTGAGTTGGAAGAACAATAGTAGTATAAGAAGAGATATAAAATGTGAAACTCTATAAAAGGAAAAAACAACATTTGATGAGGATGCTGTTTTTTCCTAATGATCGATGTAAAATACCTACGGTTATTTATAATTTTCATTATTTATAGTACCTATACAGCTCATTCTGATCCATAGGTAATTAAAATGGATTTTTATTCAGTATTATTAAAAAACCATAAATACTTTAAATTCTTAAAAATTTATTAAAATTATGAATGTAAATAATAATTTATCTCATTTATTTAAATGTATGTTTAATAGTTATATTATAATACATTAGTTTTTATAATTTTATTTTCTATCTACAAATCACAGTTATAAGTTAATTAACAGAATATTACTTATTAATACAATAAATAAAATAAATGGTAAATAATTTTACTTACAACATTAATTTAATTTAAACATAATTATGTGAAATTTGCTTTAAAATAAGTTGAACAGAATATTGTCACAAAATACCTAGGTATCATCTGATTATCATAGGTATTTATCGGATCATCAGTATGGTAGTATTAGTACATAATATGTTTATTAAAATAAATCATTGATCTTAGGTGGAACCAGAGCAAATCAAAAAAGACCTCACACACCCTTACGTTACTGATAATCCAGAAAATGTAATTAAGTCTATTGAAATTCACAATAACCCATACACAGCTGCAGACTCGACACACGCTATCGTAATATGTACCGAATGGGACGAATTTGTGGTAATTTCTTATGAAATAATTATTTTATTTATAGTCTAATTAGTTTCACATAAATTTAAAGTTGTTAAGTATAATTACTCAATTTAATTAAAATTGTACCATACAAAATATAAACCATTTAATTTTATAACAAATTGTTTTTGTCCATTATTAGGATTTATACCAACTACATTATTATATTTTTATGTTATATGTATAATCATACATCAATTTAAAAATTAGAATTTTACATTTAAAATGTATGTATATGATTCTGATAAGTCATCCAAACGTAAAGAAAAATACATATTTTCTAATGTTTTAATGTAAAATACACATTTATTTCCAATGAAAAATATTATAATCAATGGTCTAAGCAGTGGGACTCTTAAAATAGTTATTTCTAATCAATCAATGTATTATTATGTTCTAGAACTTGGACTATGAAAAAATTTATAAACATATGATAAAACCAGCATTTATTTTTGATGGTCGCAAGATTCTGAACCATGAAATCATGGCCACAATTGGTTTTCAAGTTCATACAATTGGAAAACGTTGAATTTTAAAACGTATGACATTTATTATTGTCTTCCATTTAACCATATCGATTAAGTATTCTTGGCACTACCAGAAAATATCAGTAATTATATTAAATATTTATATTTTTTTACATTTATATTTCATAGTTTATTCATAACCTTAAACATATTTTTGATAAATGTATACATGACTTGGCCTCATACTTAAAATAAGAAATTAATTATTATAAGTATACCTACTATATGATATTTATGTCATTTTTATGTATTATTTTTTTAAGCCTATTATTGTGTACCTATTATGATTTACTTTAATTGTTGTAAGAAAATTACTACTTAATGCAAACACAAAATGATAAATATCTTTTCTTTTAGTTTATAAAAATATGTCTATTATAATATATGCACAGATTATTTTATAAAAAGTATTATCTATTGTTCTGTTTTCGTTCTAACTAAATGTAATACATTTTTATATTTTAACATACAGAGTTATCTAAAAATCATGTTAAATTAAAATTTTATTGAATTGTTTTTATGTTATATTAGATTATTCAAATTTGGGAACACATTCTGAGCCGAGACATGTATGATACATTTATTGATTTTACAATAATTGAATAATGCTTGTTTGTCTATTTATTATTAGAATATTATATTACCTAAATGGTTTACTTTTTGAAATAAAATAACATGATATAATGGTCTAGAAGTTGGATTATAATAAAATTTATAAATAATAATTATTAATTAAAATTACGATAAAACTAGCATTTATTTTTTGATTAAGTAAAGATTCTGAATCATAAAACTAGGCCAAAATTAATTTCCAAGTTCATAGATTCATACTGATTGGAAAACATTTAATTTTAAAATGTAGGTATGGCATATTTTGTGATCTTGTTAGTATCTTGAATTTTTATTATTATTGATAAATTATTCATTTTATTTGTTGCTGTTTAAAGGAAAGGTTACTTCTATACAAGTGGAACTTAAATTAAAAAAGCATAACAAAACAAATAGTAGGCCCTTACGAGTGACAACTGATGGTTGTAGTTACATTTCAAAAATACATCCTGAAATTTGCTTGTTGGGTTATTGAGTTGATTCACTTTCAGCAACGATAGAAAAAAATATCAAAAATGTTAAGTGCCTATAATAAGCTCAAAAAGAATAAAACATTTTTTAAAATTATACTATGTACCTATCCATTTAAAATGTTAGTATACACATTAGTTAAAATTGTCAAGTATCTACAGTTATTCATTTCTGAATTAAGTACAACAAAATTAGGTAGGAGATTGATTTTGTCAAAAACTGGTTTCGAGTGAAAATTTTTGTTTTCCCCTAATTTTTTCTATTTTTCCTAAATATTAAAAAAAGTAAATGAGTCGTAGGTACTTAGAATTATCAACTTTTGAGATCTTCTCCCTCACCAAAAAAAAAAGTACAAAAACCAACCGTCCAACTAGATTCACTTTTTGATCAGAAAAGATATTGAAGTACAATATTGAAGCATATTTTCTACTAAAAAAGTGTTTGAACTGGGTCTATAGACATAAAAAAACACACCATAGTATAATTTTTACTCTTAGAATCTAAAAAAAAATGATTTAAAATGCGGTTACAAAATATTAGATAATAGATTGGTAGTAGGTGTAGACAATGTATACACATGTAAATCAAAATATAAATATACAAATAAATATATATTATATAGAATGAAGTCATATCCATTAATCATTTCTTACATCTCCATGCCTCTATCTATTCTTTCTGCTGGACAGGTAAAGTTTTTGTTCTATGTAAATTATATAGACAAAAAAGAAAATTAGAGGTATCTATTTGATGAAATATTCTTCTATTCCCATTCAATATACATGGTATAAACTGTTATTTAGAGTCTATTAACATCAACTTCAAATGTCTATAAAATTGTTTTTTGATATTTTTATTGTATGAAAAACAATTGTATTACATTTATATATTGAATTTACATTATTTCCAAGTGATTTTAACAAATATTGTTAAAATTTTAACTTCAAACAATTAGGTATATTAAACAAATGTATTTATGATAGGTATTTTAAAATTGCTATACATAAGATAAACTTATGAGGAAATTTGTATTATATTTTCAAGTTTTTTGACCGAGAAAAACAATTTTCCAACATTTAGTTACCAATTAGAAAACAATTTTAAATGCCTAAACAATAAATATTTTGAAAATTACACTGTATGAAACTATAAGAGTTTAAGCAATAAATTAATAGTGGATTGTTTTAAGTTTCTAGAACGTTGTTATACTTCACGATTTATCCACTTTTGTGTTAGAATTGACAACTTGAATGTAGTTAGTGGACATATGCTTTAGGCATTTAGGTGTGACTTGACTTCATCCGCAGCGGCATCATTGCCAAGCTAATAACCGGTGCTACCTTAATGAACCGAAAAAAGCCCTATACACTCAAGGCTGCATTTTTTTAAAGCCCCCCCCCCCTCCCCGATGAAAAATACAGCCCTGAATTACACAACCTAGCTACAAACCAAAAATAATACAACAATAATATCCAATTATAATATCCTATTTCACTTCACCAAGCCTTCAATGACGAGAACACGGCCGCAATCAGTTTATTCTTCACTAACATAAAATCAAACCACCCATTGTAAATACCCTTTTATGTAAAATGTACCAAATGTATTATATGTAAAATCGCTCTCTCTTGTTATTCTTTTTTCAACAAATGTAGGCTAAAAATCTTTGTTGTTGAAGCCTAACTTTATAAAAAAAAAAATATATCCAATATACGTGAACTGTACCGTCGTTCGTCTGAACCTTTATTACAATATAGGTTTTCCCAGAATTGGGAACATATATTTATAAGTAAATAATAATTAATAATTATAACAATAAAAAGACAATTTTTTTCTTTAAAGCTGTAACCCAGACCAAGTTTAAGCTCGGTTGACTGGCACCTTACATGAAAATTGCAGGGGCAGCCGACAGTCGACACCCTAGGTTGCCATCGTTGACACAAGACATGCCTATGTTTGTGTAGTAAATATTTGTTTGTTTTTGAGTTACGTACAAAACATATCTAATCCAATTATTAACAACCTACTGAATTCTACAAAATGGAACCTTCACGTTCACACTATTTCGTTTCAAACCGTAATAAAGATTAATACCTAGATTATAATTATCTTACTTATAAGCAAGTAATTACTAGTAAGATATTATATCATTGTGTATGGGTGAATTAATGTTTTTAAAGACCTCCAGATGTGTGGTGGATTTTTTGTTACAACTGCAACAAACTTACATTTTATAAAACCATTTACGTAATAAGTCTCTACCAGAAACATACCAAATCCCGGTCATCACAGTAGCGGTCATATCATTTTGTCAAGGAGGGGGGGGGAAGGTATTTATTATGGGTGATATTTTAACATGCACCATTTCATTATTATAAATATAATTTATGGTTATCAGATCTTAAACATTGAAAAAAAGGCCATAAGGGAATCTATACTCCTCATCTCCCTCCTTCCATTGTGACCACTACTGAGTCACCATATGCTATTGAAAGTTATACACTTATTAATATTACACCTAAATTCAGCTGTTTCTTATACTTAGGTGATTCAATGTGCAGTTTTCTGTTGAGCACAAAAAAACTGACTCAACGCTATTTTAAAAATCGTCATCAAACTAAAATATTAATAAAAAAAACAAATTATGACCATAACATGTAATTTATTATTAAAATAAAATACTTTAAAAATTGAATATTTTGTTTTAAAAGGAAAATTTTAAATTTTGAACATAATAATTTTGGTTTGCTTAAGCGTAAAATATTTGACCTGAATAAGTGAATAACAATAGAATTTAACTTAATTTAATAGGTAACAATTCAATTCATTATTCATAATTGAACAATTTATTATTACTATAATTAATTTAAAAAAGGCTATTGTAGTTACACTAAGTACGTTTTTTTGACTATTACATTTCACTTAAATAATAAACATAAATTAAAATAAATCATTAAAAAATATATGGCACTAAAGTCAACAACTTTAGAATACTTTTAAAATTATTCTATAAAATTAGATACTTTATGTATGTGTCGTCATATGACAGTAACCGGTATTTATCACATATGCATTTGTTTATACATTTTATCATACATTCTTCTTCAGAAGTTTAAGATTTACAACACAACTTTGAAATTAATATGCCCAGGGTTCAAAAAAAAAATTTTGTTGAACGAAAAAAAAATTTAACATTTTTGGTGCACTTCCTGTGATGCTAGAAGCCCTTAGCTTCCTTATAATATTCTTGAGCAAGTTGAAAAGAATTTAGAACTTGAAACTCAACCCCCCTTCATGCCTTTCAATAAGTATAATAATAAATGATTAATATAACATATAAAATATTAATGATCTTATTTTTCATTCTAAATGGGGAAGACTAAACAGAGAAATTAATCGTATAAAATACACAAAGTTATACAAATTTAATCGTATGTCATGGCTTGATTAAAACACAGTTTGTAAGTAAGCTATATAAATAAACAGATTAAAATAAAAATAAAACTATATTAGGTGTATTTTTAACAATTCAATTTTCAACAAATTAATAGAATTTTAAATAATTATTATTATTATTACAACATTACAATATTTATTCTATATACAAAAGATCTAAATTCTAGTTCTTTATGATTACAGATACATTTTTTGTTCATGTTAACAAATTACAATAGATTATGATTAAGAATTATAATAACATTTTTGATTTTTCACAGCCTTATTTTTTTTTAATCCAAAATAATATACATATTTATTCAAATATATAGAAATGTATGACAAAATAAATATTTTCTAAAAAATTATCATAAACAATTAAATGCAAGTTTTAATTAAATCTTTTTTAACATAGTTAAATTAAGACTTTCTGGTAATTCTATATCTTCTAGTCTTATATTGGATGGATGAAATGGAAATGTGATTGGGTAAACATACTTAGTATCCATTAATAATTTTTCCTACAACACATTAAAGGATTGATTTACATACATTTACTAGGCAAGACAGCATGATTATTGGTTATTGATCAATTTTTATATATGTAGAGCAATTAAATAACATAGGTTAACTTAAAATTTGTTAAAGAAAGCATTTTTATCTAATTACTGCCGAACCATAATTTATTCACAAGCTAAAATATTATTTCCTTTTGTTTAAAAATATATACTCATTTAAACATATATCATGATAATAAACTTTAATTTTCTTTAGAACCACTTCTTATACAGCGAACATATATTATGATATTCTCTAAATATTAAATCAATCATTTAAATTACCTTATCTTGGCATTCTGGCCGTTCTTCCAACTTGTCCTTAACTTTCCTAATGAAATCCATAGATATACGTTCCTCGCAATCATCAGTAGGCTTGAATGAAGTCAGAAGTTTAATAATCTAAAAAATTAAAATTATTTTTTTTTTGCATTAATAGTTCATTTAATTTTTGATATTCATAATTGTTATTATACTCTATTCAGAAAAAGTTTGGTAAAATGTATGACGAAAACATGTCCGGTTTTGTGCAGGTGTGTCACGTGATCTG